TGCTGAATTAAATGACGAGATGTGCTTTCTAGAGGAGTACTTACAGCAACTATAGTGCATATGATCACTATAATTAAAAAGGAGTCAAAACATCAACTTTTATGATTGGGAAATATAAATGTCAATATTACGAATGGATACAGCATGGTTTTATGAAGTTCAGATAATGACAAACAACCGATTTCCAATAAATTGGTTTAGAATAAAACAGTTTGTTCTTGGACTGGATTCTTTTTTAAAGGAACACTATAGTCACCTAAATTACTTTAGCTAAATAAAGCAGTTTTAGTGTATAGATTATTCCCCTGCAATTTCCCTGCTCAATTCACTGCCATTTAGGAGTTAAATCACTTTGTTTCTGTTTATGCAGCCCTAGCCACACCTCCCCTGGCTATGATTGACAGAGCCTGCATGAAAAAAAAAACTGGTTTCACTTTCAAACAGATGTAATTTACCTTAAATAATTGTATCTCAATCTCTAAACTGAACTTTAATCCCATACAGGAGGCTCTTGCAGGGTCTAGCAAGCTATTAACATAGCAGGGGATAAGAAAATCTTAATTAAACAGAACTTGCAATAAGGAAAGCCTAAATAGGGCTCTCTTTACAGGAAGTGTTTATGGAAGGCTGTGCAAGTCACATGCAGGGAGGTGTGACTAGGGTTAATAAACAAAGGGATTTAACTCCTAAATGGCAGAGGATTGAGCAGTGAGGCTGCAGGGGCATGTTCTATACACCAAAACTGCTTCATTAAGCTAAAGTTGTTCAGGTGACTATAGTGTCCCTTTAAGGCAGTTAGTTAAAATCACTTATATGATGCAGAACTGTGAGTCACATGGACTGCATGGTACTTGGAAAGTATCCCAAGCACTCAGAGACCTCCACAGTATTATTTTTGGCAAGCTTTTTAAATAATTTATCACGCTTCACAATACTTAGTGTATATAAAATAATTATATATGTTAAAATTACCATGTATGTCTTAGCAAAACTGATATCCTTTCTGGAGACATAAGCAGTCATTCGTCTTAATATCAACGAATAAATATTTTTTCAATAAAAAAGCAGAGTTGTATATAATTGTTTACCAACAGAATTCGGATAGTGTTCCAAGGTTCTTTACTCATTATGTCCAACGTAACAACATCTTTATTGCCCTATCAGCATTAGTCTTGGGTAAACATATTCATTCTATTGGCAACTACATTATTTGAATGTAATAATTGATTTAAACAACCCACGTAGGTATCAATTCAAATACAAATGTATTTTTTTAAAAATCTTAATATTTTTTAATTTTTGGTGCGTCATATTTAAGTTTTACATATATGTGTGTACGAAAGTTCACCATTAAAGGACAGATACAATGTCGTTAGAGATTTGCATCATATTTTGGATCAAGCAATAACAGATCCAGGAACAACATTAACATGTTAAACAATACATTCTGATCGATACAGAGGTGTCACAATGTTTTGTATACCCTTGCAGTTGGGATGAGACATGGTGTACTGAGGCAGCACATGTATATAGTTGTTCTGGTGGGATTAGTCTCCATGTGAGCGTTAAGATGTGGGACAAGTTGTAAAGTAACAGGATGCGTTAGAACGATGCCTTGCGTTTTGGCTCTTTGTGCTGTGCTGGGTTAGGGTGTCTGTATGCTGGAGTGGAGTGTATTTAAGTGAGCGATGCATCTAGATTATTTACCCCTAACCAAGGGGGTGGCGGGGGGGGGGGTGTTTGGGATGACAAGTGTTTGGGCGCGTGTTGCGCTAGCTCTCACTGAGTTAATGAGCCTGGGCTCCCTATGAGATAGGGTAAATGAAACATAGACCTGTGGTGAAAGAATATATATAACGAGAAAAAAATTAAATAAACATTAGGAACGCAAAATGAAAGGTATGCAACAGTTATGTTAGCAAAACTTGTGGTATCAGTCCACAACGCACATGGTACAGGGTGTTGGGATCCGCTGGGTCTTGATTCCAACGGGAATGGTGCTCCTTGTGGCGAAAGTGACCTTGCCACTGGTTTTTGGAGGGGCCAGTTTGCCAGCATCCTGCCCTGCGACTATGGCCCGGGGGTGTGTGACCCTTTAGGAACATTATTTGGGGCTTATGGACGTTCATTGGACTGGTGCTGGCCCTTTAAACACATTTTTGGGACACGAGGAAAATTGGGACAATGCCCCTTTAAGACAGTGTCCCCAGACGTGTTTGGGACACAGCCCCTTTAAGCCTGTGTCCCCAGTGTCCCCAGACTTGGTTAAAGTACTTTATTCATGGCTTCTTTACACTTGGTTCAGTTAATGGGGCTTACTGAACCAAGTACCACACAGGCGGACCACCCAGAAGTGTAAGTGTGCAGGCAATTTACTTCCCAGGCTGGGAGCATGCTGTAGGTAAACTGCCGACCGCTGGGTGGCCGCAGTTCGTGCAAATGAACAAGTGGCGGCGGCCATCTTTGTTCAGTTTTCAGCTACAGAGACTAAGTCCCGTTCGGATGTTTGAACTCACTGTTATACTGAGCCAAATGCACGAACGGCCCCGAATGCACAGCCCAAATCTATGGAACTGTTTTGGGCAGGAAAATGTGCTTGCGGTCGGTCATAAAGGACTTCCAGCTAACTTTCTACTGGAAGGAATTGGCTATGTGTTTGGGAGTGTTTGTACTGTATACTACGTGTTTATTGGCTGTTCTGTTAAACCCTGTGGGCGGTCCTGTATGTGTAAAACCTGCATAAAAGAAGGCCCTTTAGTGCTAAGTAAAAAAAGTTCTTCTTCACCCTCAATCTAGAGTCCTGTCTCTTATTGGGGGAATTGCTATATCACTACAAGGGATTGCTATGCTCTGCATCCGTCAACGGAGGTACCTGGGTGCCAGGTGATCCGTTACACTCCTGGGGTCCAATGCCGCTATATGAGGGCTCCCCTGTGGCGTAGCCATTGAGTTAGGCAGTCCCAGGGTGACAAGGAGGGGAGATGCTCCCTCCACGGAGGTTACAACATGGGTAGTTCCATCATGGGTTACCTCTAGAGTCTCGTTAGCGCCCCACCTGTAGGCTATGCCTGCTGAGCGTAGCTGGGTGGTGAGCGGTCGATAAGATATGCACCACAGGAGGTCGGCTTTCTATAGGTCTTGAAAGAACGGTAGTGAGGAGTTCTCTAATATCAATGGTGTCTTGCCTTTCAAACCCGCCATTATGTTAGCTTGTCTTGCACTGTGACACATCTGAGGATGACATGTCTGACTGTTGGGATCTTTAGGTGGGGAGAGTCAGGCAGGCGGTATAACCCGTCTAGCATAATTTTCTTTGAAGTTGAAGTTTAAGAAAGTAGTGTGTTTTTAATGCGTGTACATCGTGTATATAACATGCAGTTTTTCTTAGGGGTGTACACCCCAGAAGGCAAAATCAACCAATCATAGACATTCAGTGCAAACAGTATTCCTATAACATTATGTATTGCTGTATATCTACTGCGCATGTCTAGCACGTCTTCTCTTAACTGATGTACAGGACAGTCTTTGACTTAGTAACCCAATTAAAATTTGCAGGTGCTCAGAAAGAATGTTATGTTTTCCAAAGGCAGGATGTTTATACAAGATGGTGGAAACTAGTGTCTGGCTCTCGATCAGAAAACTATGGTATGTTTAACCCCTTAAGGACCAAACTTCTGGAATAAAAGGGAATCATGTCATGTGTCCTTAAGGGGTTAAAGAATGTGAGTTTAACCCTTTCAAAGCATGAATATCTTCTATTATACTCAGGCCTACTGACCATTCAGTCTTTCAAGCCATGTATATAGTATATACTTTTAGCTAGTAATAAGAAATCGAGCCATGGAAAGCAGGACATTAGACTGACACCCTGTAACAATATATAAATATATATTATATATAGCTCTGTATGGGAATATTCACTAAGCATTGCATAGGTAAAACAATGTATTCTCCATCAGTCAGCCATCAGCAGAATTTCAAATAAAATACAATAAAATACATTTAGCCTGAATTTTATTCCTTTCAATCAGAATTGATGCCGTTCTGTTAGAAAAAAAAACTTTGAAATGATTTATCTACCGAATTAAGCAGTAAAGGCTATAAGGGTTATTTACTGAATACAAAATGTGCCATGCAGTGAATGGGACAAAACCATTCGGCTTGATATGGGGCCATTCGGACAGCAAAATCCTGATGGAATTCACCAATTTCCGTATTTTGTAATTCAGAACCTGAACGGTATGAACGTGGTCCGAATTTAAGTCCTGACAAAAATAATTAAATCCTGGGCTGAATTAAAAAAAAAAAAAAAAATGCTATATTTGCCATTAGCAAATATTTTTTTCCCAAACAGGTGGCAACTCTATGGCGCTACACAAAACACACATTCAGGATAGTTGTTTTTATTTATTTTTTTTAAGTATTTTAATGCTTTAATAATAAGATTATCTCAGACACATTCATTGTATTATTAGGACTGGACTCTGAGGTGACTTGTTTCACTAAAATACACAATCAGAAAATAGTTCAATGGGAAAAAGAGAATATTTGTCAGCCAGGGATTATATCACACCAGGGGTTTCATGTGATCAGTGGTAGTATTATAACTATTATTATTATAATTATTATTATTATTAATACCCACAATGCAGTGTGACTAGGGCCAGCCATGTGTGACCACGTGACCTGCATTGCGCACACTGTGTGCACTGCCATCAAGCTAGCGCAAGGATATCTATAACGCGACTGCAAGCTGACCGTGAGCAGGTAACGCGGTCCAAGCGGAAGGATGATTAATACACACCCAGGTGTCATCGCAGGCAGGAGGGCGTCTTCATTGCCGGGACTATATGCATACCACGTGACTCCCTGTCTACCGCCCATTCGCTTTACGGAGAGCTTTGCTGCCATGGTTACCGTTGCCTGGGATACGGACGCGCAGGGCCGCTAGACGATTACTGAGTGAGTGTTGGGGAGTGCGGCCGGGGCTCGGGGGAGTGATGGCTGTGCTTACTGGGCCCGGGGGAGTATCGGCACCACAGACACCGGGCCGAGTATACAGAGAGCCCCCAGACACCGGGCCGAGTATACAGAGAGCCCACAGACACAGCGCCGAGTATACAGAGAGCCCCCAGACACCGGGCCGAGTATACAGAGAGCCCCCAGACACCGGGCCGAGTATACAGAGAGCCCCCAGACACCGGGCCGAGTATACAGAGAGCCCCCAGACACCGGGCCGAGTATACAGAGAGCCCCCAGACACCGGGCCGAGTATACAGAGAGCCCCCAGACACCGGGCCGAGTATACAGAGAGCCCCCAGACACCGGGCCGAGTATACAGAGAGCCCCCAGACACCGGGCCGAGTATACAGAGAGCCCCCAGACACCGGGCCGAGTATACAGAGAGCCCCCAGACACCGGGCCGAGTATACAGAGAGCCCCCAGACACCGGGCCGAGTATACAGAGAGCCCCCAGACACCGGGCCGAGTATACAGAGAGCCCACAGACACCGGGCCGAGTATACAGGGAGCCCCCAGACACCGCGCCGAGTATACAGAGAGCCCACAGACACCGCGCCGAGTATACAGAGAGCCCACAGACACCGCGCCGAGTATACAGAGAGCCCACAGACACAGCACCGAGTATACAGAGAGCCCACAGACACAGCACCGAGTATACAGAGAGCCCACAGACACCGGGCCGAGTATACAGAGAGCCCCCAGACACAGCACCGAGTATACAGAGAGCCCCCAGACACCGGGCCGAGTATACAGAGAGCCCCCAGACACCGGGCCGAGTATACAGAGAGCCCCCAGACACCGGGCCGAGTATACAGAGAGCCCCCAGACACCGGGCCGAGTATACAGAGAGCCCCCAGACACCGGGCCGAGTATACAGAGAGCCCCCAGACACCGGGCCGAGTATACAGAGAGCCCCCAGACACCGGGCCGAGTATACAGAGAGCCCCCAGACACCGGGCCGAGTATACAGAGAGCCCCCAGACACCGGGCCGAGTATACAGGGAGCCCACAGACACCGGGCCGAGTATACAGAGAGCCCCCAGACACCGGGCCGAGTATACAGGGAGCCCCCAGACACAGCGCCGAGTATACAGAGAGCCCCCAGACACCGGGCCGAGTGTACAGAGAGCCCCCAGACACAGCGCCGAGTATACAGAGAGCCCCCAGACACCGGGCCGAGTGTACAGAGAGCCCCCAGACACCGGGCCGAGTGTACAGAGAGCCCCCAGACACCGGGCCGAGTGTACAGAGAGCCCCCAGACACCGGGCCGAGTGTACAGAGAGCCCCCAGACACCGGGCCGAGTGTACAGAGAGCCCCCAGACACCGGGCCGAGTGTACAGAGAGCCCCCAGACACCGGGCCGAGTGTACAGAGAGCCCCCAGACACCGGGCCGAGTGTACAGAGAGCCCCCAGACACCGGGCCGAGTGTACAGAGAGCCCCCAGACACCGGGCCGAGTGTACAGAGAGCCCCCAGACACCGGGCCGAGTGTACAGAGAGCCCCCAGACACCGCCTTGTATATGTATAGGGTCCATGTAATGTGGGCGGTGTATGTAGACTGTATGTGTAATGGGGTCACGTATGGAGCGTGCACATGTATTGGGGACTGGTGGACATATAGCACTTCTTACTGTACCACATGATGTGTCTGGTAGCAGCATACCTCCCAGGTGTCTTATTTAGGAGGGATAGTCCCTATTTTGGGCCCAAATCTTAGCGTCCTTCACTCTAAGGAGCTCCATATTGTTGGTGTGTCTGGGTGTATAACAGAGCTCCACAGCAATAATACACCCAGTAATTAGTCTTTAATCTACAATAAATGTGTTTAGAAATCACTCTTTGTAAATAACATATCTTGTTCTAAATTACATTATTAATAAGTCACCTAAAACTTCTCACAACAGCCCCACCCCTGGCTCAGTCCCTACTTTGTTGTATGGTATCTATGGGTTGCATTGGAATTTCAAAGTTTCCCCCAGTGTTTTTGCCTGTGACATTATCATGGAGGCATTGCTTCCATAATAAATGTCCATTCCAATGCACATCATAGAGCATAGTGGACAAGGTGTGCAGCAAGTGGCGTATTTGTTTCTAACAGGAAAGCATTTAATTCAATCCTTTTTGATAAACTGCATTGGTGCCACTTGGTAGTTGCAGAATAAGTGTCTTTAGTGGCTGTTAGGAAGACGGTCACTAAATGTGTAGACCCCATTAAAGGATTAGTTTGTCCTTCCTGACCCTGATTAAAATCTCTAGTTCTGAATAATTTTTAGTTGCTTGTTATATGGTGGAAAATAAAGCACGTTATTGTACATCTGGTTATTTAAAAATAAAATACATTTCAATTTGACTAATTTAAGTTTAGCATCTATGATTTAGTAATAAACTTTCATTGATGCAGCGATAATGAAGTGTCTATGTGCTCCTGCCACCATCAGATTGCAGATAATTCATGTTGCATGAATTCTACTAATATTGTGTTCTCCTTTAGTGATGTAACTCAACACCAGGAAACCAGTGAAGACCAGAAATAGTCCCAGGGTTATGAACCATGAATTTGCTTTTAAAGGGACATTATAGTGTCAGGAATTCAAAGCTGTTTTCCTGGCACTATAGTTCCCCCCGTCTCCGTCCTCCCTTGCACCCTTCAATCCGCTTTAAATAAAGGGTTAAAAACCCTTTACTTACCTTATCCCAGCGCTGGGTCAACGCTCCGCCTCCTCCGATGTTCTGCAACGAGTGCGGGCTAATGCGCATGTGAGTCAAGTTCAACGCGGATTAGACCTTCCCATAGGAATCACTGATTCAATGATTTCCTTTTGGGAAATATCTGACGCTAGATGTCCTCATGCAGAGCGTGAGGACGTCCAGCGTCCGATACCGGAACAAAGGTCAGTTTTGATCCAGACAGCCACTGAGGGCAGACTTAGTGCTGCAATATAAACATTGCAGTTTCTCTGGAACTACAATTTTTAACATTTCAGTACTAAGGGCAAAAGGAACACTACACCCAGACACCTTCAATGAGCTGAAGCGGTCTGGGTGCCTATAGTGTTCCTTTTTAAGGATTGTTCTGTATGATTATTTGGGCCACTGTTATGGGAACCCTCCGTTTTTAAACTTAAATATATTTTTAAGTTAGTCGTTCCTTTTTTAGTTTAGATTTTCAAATATAAATTTAACCGAGTGAAAGTTCCCAGCTGCCTGATGATGCTTCCACATTACGCCTGAGTAGCAATGGGTTGCAGTGACTAGCTGCAAGTGTCACCCGACTGCTGTCAGCCCCTTACAGCTACCGATTGGTGGCTGTGAGATGATTGCTAAGGCAGTTATACTCTGCTTTATCCATACCTCCAGTGGTGCCAAGCTGCGTGTGGCTGGGGACCCTCATTCACTGTTTCAAAAATACTGAAAAGTAGGAGAATCCACACACCGTAACTACTTCAATGAGATTAAGTAGTTATGGTGCCGTGAGTGCACCTTTGTACCAAGCGGTAATCCAGAGCCTTGACAGTTTCCTTACTGCAGTCCCATCCTCCCATGATTAAATCATCATGCTTGATAATCTTTGGTCCAATCCAGTGCTTTCAACAGAAGTCTTGCAGCCCTTATTGTAGAGAAGCTGTGAACCCACAAAGTGAAGGTCTTAAAGGCAGAAAGGTCAGATAGCCAACCAGTAGAGAAACAGTTTCAGCCCAATGTAAACATTGCCTATTCTGAGGAGCGGAATTGTTTTATATTGTCCAAGAAAAAGAGACCTCTATATGCAAAAATCTGTCAGTACACGGGCAATCTCGTTGACTTTATTGGACTCCTATATAACAATTGGTTGTTGCCACAGAAAACCCACAATGTTCTTATGGAATTTCTGCCATGATTAATTTATCAATTTCCTTCAGCTATTTATAGGAAATGCTATCCAAATTGACATACATGTAGATTTCGCTGAAAGCATTCATTTAAAAGAATAAAAATAATGCATTTCTCTTTAAATGTGTAGCATTAAAATACATTATTTCTTGTCATAATTAATTGAAACACTTTGTCGCAAAATGTCCAAATCTAAAATGCTAGCAAAATGGGTTAAGCTAAAATGTTACATAATATGCACTCCCAAATCAATAATACTGTTTGTTATTGTGCTGCTACACTATAAATATTTCTATGGGAAAATACAAGATGAGCGGCTTTGTAAAATGTAGCCCCTGGCTAGTCTGACTATGACTGCTCCATTTAAGGCAACCTGATATGCACTCAGCCTGTAGTTCTATTTAATGGTTATATAGCCACCTTGTGTCTAAATGCATTTACTGCAATGAAAAGTCTAAGTGGCATTGAAGAACTAAACAATGCTTTCTCAAGTCCTGTTTGCTATGTGCACTAATCATACGTTTTGTGAATGAGATAATGATTGGCAACAATAGTGTTTACATTAAAAATGTGATCACGTTAAGGTATTGTTAAATACAGTGCAATGTAACGTGTTTCTGGATCAAGTGATACTAATACAAGATTTAGCAGGTAATCAGATATGGAATTTTTCATTTAGAAAGTAAGCCATAATTAAATTCATGCCACAAAAAAAAATGAATAAAAATTATCATAATGTCAATCAGATTTCTCCTTGGATCAACAAACTGTTTTCATACATATTAATTATATCCTTGAATATTCTGTTTAAAAAAAAAAAAAAAAATAATAATAATACATCCAGGCCCATTAAAAAATATATCTGTAACGGATCACCTGGCACCCCGACTGGGTACCTCCGTTGAAGGATGCTGCTAGTGCTTCCTGAGGACTCCAAGCACTCCAGCAGACACCATAACCACCGTAGACTCCTTCAGGTAGCAGAACAGGAACAAGCTCTTACAAGAGCTTAGTAGTGATATAGCAAGGGAGTATGAATAGCATAGCAATACCTTGTAGCAGATTCCCCCAATAAGATACGGCACTCCAAATTGAGGGTGAAGTAGAACTGACAGAGCTGTGGGTTTATTGTTCTTATATACACATTCTTACACATTAGTAACACCCACAGGGTTTTGTAAAACAACCAATAAACACATACAATACACTCAGACACTCCCACACAAAATCCTCCCCTCTGCCTGTGATACAATTACCTTACACAATGGGTTAATATAATTATCACAGGCAGGAAAATACAGTTTTACACAATATTCATAACCTTAAAAGTATGCATCACATTCACATAAAACATTTTCAGAATCGACATACTCCAAATACCAACATATGTCAAAATCATACAAATTGGTCCAGTGGGTCAAAAGTTATATCGACGTCCTTTGTGACCAAATGAAGCATGGCTTTTCTGCCCAAAACCAGTTCCACAGAGTCTTCTATCCTGGAGATAATTGGGAAGTAATCCAATTATCTCCAAGGACAGACGCAAAACTCCATTAGCCACATGGTAGCAAAATACAATAAAATACATAAAAATATAGAACTGTGCAGCTATTGCATAAAACAGGTACATTCAACATGTCCCCAGATAGCTTAGATCTGAGCGCACATTATTACTGAATGGCGCTCAGATCACATACATACAGTTCAATTGCCATGGAGCCAAAGTCTTTCACGTAGTCTTTCGTTATATGAATGGGCTCCATGGCATAGCTATCTGGGGTAACACTGCTCACATAGGGAAAGTACCGAATGACCCGGCTTTTGGGTCTTTGCAGGGAAAAATCAAGCATTTCAACATGGGGCCATAGTCACAGGGCAGGAGGCTGGCAATCAGTCTTCTCCAATGCCCAGTGTCGAGGCTGGTTCCGCCACAATATCTCTAGAATTTGATTAGACAACCGTTGTCTTTATTGTGCTTACTGTCTTCTGGACAGCCACTAGAGGCGCATCTGCGAACCTGGAGGCATTTAATGCCTCCATCACGCAGAGCGTCCATGGGAAAGCATTGAAAAATGCTTTCCTATGGACACTTTGAATGCGCGCGCGGCACTTGCGCTGGAAAAAGGTAAGCTGCTGAAAGGGTTTTAACCCCTTCAGTGCCACGGGAGGGGACCCCAAGGGAGCACGGCGCTGGAGAAAGGTAAGCTGCTGAAAGGGTTTTAACCCCTTAAGCGCCACGGGAGGGGGTCCCTGAGGGTGGGGGCACCCTCAGGGCACTATAGTGTCAGGAAAACCGCTTAGTTTTCCTGACACTATAGTGATCCTTTAAAGCTTTTTACTTACTTTTTCCAGTGCTGAGTCTCCCTGGACGCTGTTCACCGCTCCACCTCCCACAACATCATCCACCCATTGGTCTCCTCTGGCGTGTTCCAATCCATTCCACACTCGTCCCTAGCTTTCTGGTGCCTAATTCTGAAATAATTTATGACATGGATCCCTTCCATTTGTCTCCTTTTATATTGTCACTTTTTGATGATGTGTACACATTTATGACATCACAGCCTTTTGTAACCAATCACAACCCAGTATAGGGTATATATACTTCCTGGTTGTCCTCGTTTCTTTCACTTGTCGTGGTTTTTGTTTATACTGTGTATTGGATTTACTTT